ACTCCCTTTTTAACGCTTATTCTTTTTTTAATGTCATCTATAGTACTTTCAATACCTGTTTTAATTCTATTCTCTTATTTTTTTATGACTATAATGGATCAATAAACGTGGGGCTCGAAATAATTGTTACATTTATGGTGACCAAACGTTTGAGACCCACTGACGATAACACTGAAGTCCCTCTAGCTCACTGACTCTCTCATTCTGACGAGAACTTCACTTTGCGTGTGTTGAAAAAACTCTTATATCCGTGCGTAGCTCCTAGCACCCAGAAGCTACAACACACGATCTCCGGTACGGTGCGCTCCTCACTCGCGACAGCACACAAAATGCTCGTCCACACACACACACAGAGCCAAAACTTTAATGAAACGAGACCCAGACGTAATAGTACTGTATATATATTTTTCGAATCAACATAATTTTTAAAACATTTTTTTTTTTTTTTTTTATGCGTTTTTTTTTTTTTATACACCATTCTTTCCTCCTGGTCTCTCGCGCCCCCTGGTCATGCCTCTGCGCCCCCTGGGGGGCGCGCCCCCACTTTGAGAACCACACGTGATCTAACCAAGGGACCGCGCGCAGCGCATGTTCATGTGACGTGCTTCAGTACTACATGATTTTTACCTTTACCCATGATGCACAATAGACGGATTATATGAATTATATTTGTCGAATACTTTCGGGACGTTTCGTCTCTCCAAAAGTCTGGGCCACTCTGGCTTCACCCACTCGAACCAACTCTCATAGGAAATGAACGAGCCGCCTCCACGGTATATCAGTTCTTATTATAACATTCCATGCTAAAGCCACGTTTACACAGAGACGAAACGAGTTGTTATCTGCCTACAGTTCTCCCATTCGTAAGGGACGGCTCGTCCATCACGAGGCCGAACGAACCGGCGGAAACGGGGAGCCCTCTAAACGATAATGGCTCCCAAGGTGGGTAGATCTGCGGACGAAACGCTCTGGGGGGCCAAACGGCTGTGTGTACGTCCTATACGATAATTTCCTGATAACGACGACGCCATAGCCCCGCCTCTCCCGTTCACCCCCACGTCATTGCTGATGTGTTTTCACCAACAACCTCTGCTGCTCACTGCTGTAGCATGTTCAGTAGCTACTGTCTGCTACTGACCATGCTACAGATGTTAGTGCAAAATCTACAGCTCCTCTACCACAACCATCAACAACAAGTGGACATGGAGAACTACATGATGCTAAATCCACCGCGGAGAATAAACAGAAGGGCAACCAGGCAACCATGCTCAGGGGGTTTTCTTCGCTGCTTTTGGTGTATTTTGTGGCGCCACTTACAGGCCCGGCATATGTACTACAGCGCCCCCAGCGGGTCGAGCGGTCTCGTGTGGACGGACACGTTTCTTTAGCCGATACCGTGTGGACGGAAGACTTTTTTGATATCGACTAAGGTTCGTTTTCGTTATCTTATCCGTGCAGACGTGGCCTTAATGTGGAGAAAGAGATTTATCCTCCTGAAGGGGAAATTAAACAAATGCTTAATGTACATAATATGTTTACATGATTTTGTTGTGCAATAAAACAACCAGAGAAGCAATCTGCAAGGAAATATAGCACACCGTGTCCTCATGCTCCTGTTTCACCTGCTTAATACAGGTATCATCACTGCTACTGTGGTCATATCGGGGACCCCTAACATTTACAAAAGATGTGAAGGGGGTCATGTATTTTGTCTGGGTTCTGGGTTCCTGCAGTTTTTTGAACAGACAGTACACACGTTCAGAGGATGAAGCTGTTAACGTGCTTCTACCATAAACTGGCTGTAGCCCACAAACTGAAATAGAATGATCAAGTTATAGTAAATAATAACAAACTCCAGTGTTATAATTCCATACTCATAAATAAAAGTCTGTAGTTTCAATAAATTCTAAATCGCCAGTAAAGTCTACGACCATATTTCGGAAGGATATGCTACATATTAACTTTCTATTTTATGCATTTTAGTTCTTCATTAACATTCCTTAATTAACACTTCACTTTCCACTAACATACATTCACTGTCGATTGTTATTTTTTAATATTCTTTGCGGAATTTGGCCGAGTAAAATGTCCTCTTGGGTTGCCGTACAGCCAATGCGTGACGTCATTGGTAAGCGTAACGGACCCCGAATAGATCTGGTAGGCCGAACACATCTGGTACCTACACCGGCAAAAGAAATGTCTAACGGAAACTCTGAGCGGGACATATTTATTTAGCTGTAGTAGGCAAAACAAATCACTGTGATTGGCCGTTGAATCAGTGAAGGGGAAGAGAAACAGACGGCAGTGAGAGTGGTGTAAAAAAGTAATTCAGCAAACGCTTCTTTATTTTAACATGTGTATGTTAACTACGGCTAGATGAATACAGATTACGGCCGCCTGCTGTTAATGAGAGTCATCTCCTCTCTACCGGCGCAGAGCGGACATGATGGTTGGCTGTTTGCTGTAGTCTTTGTGTTCAAGTTGAACTTTTGGGCCACAGAGGGCGACACGACAGCCTGCTCTGTTCTTTGACGCTGGTTTGTCTGTCAGGGCCTTAAGCAGTACAGGGAAGGGGGGTGGAGGGTTGCCTTGGAGACAGGCGGGGCTGGTGAGGCTTCAGTCAGGCCAGGTGAGCAGCAGTAGGGGCGGTGGCGTGCTTACCTGAGGCCAGGCCCCCCTCTGCTCTGCCCTTCATCCCTCCTCAGAACTAGACCTACACATCCTCCTAAAAGCCTAAAAAAGACCACCATTAAAAAGTAAAAAAACCTGACCATCCCTCCTCCTCCTCCTCCTCCTCCTCCTCCTCCTCCTCCTCCTCCTGGGCCTGAGCTGCCCAGGGCCTCCCCAGCGAAGGAGGGCCGCTCCCCCCTGTGGGGCTTGGGCCTGAAGGGGAAGTCTTTGTCTTTACCTTTGGAGCCTTTGGGCCGGCCTGCTGTCTTCTTCTTGGACTTGCCGTCGCCCTTCACTCCCAGCAGGGGGTGCACCTCTGAGGAGAGAGAGGACAGACTCGGGTCAAAGTTCCGATTTTCACAATAAGACAGACATTTTAAAATGAGGATACGTTTTGTACAGTTCAGACGGCGCCCCGAGAAGCAATTTCCTGTATCTGTGTAACATTTGTTTTACCACTGCCTGAGGGCATTCCTGTTTATAGTATAGGTCATTGTGTTATTTTGAGAACGATTCATATAGAATCTGGAAACTTGTGTTTTTTTACTTTCTAGGATCACACTGAACACAAAACAACCTGTTTCCATTTTTTTCATTTGTGGCCAGTGGAAAAATACAAGATGGCAACATATATGGAAAAATCTAAAAATCGTCACGTTTGAACTTTTTTGCTCCATAGATGTATACCTATGAGCTTATCAACAGACAGATTCTGCCAATAACTGCTGAGATATTACGTTATGGATCAAAGCAGTGAACTGACAGATCAGAAAGTTAAAAAATACCAGGATCTAATGGGCCAATAGAGTATCAGACTTGCGTTTCCCTTAAACCACGCATCCATGCCAAAACAAAATACAAGACCGGTCTGGACTCAGTCAGATTAATGAAGAGCGAAATTAGCTCTGGATTCAGCGATAGCATGTTTGAAAACTTAATGACCAAATTATTTATTTAATAGCTCAAATGTTTGATTTAGGGAAGCTTGATTTAGGGCAGCTTTGGCATGGCTGTTGCTTAGCCATAGGGCGTCCACCAATCAGAGNCCGTCAACAGGACTCCATTCTTGAAGGACATCTTTGATTCCGGCGGAGAACTTTCGAGCAGCGTTGTGGTTGATGGAACCCACTCGTTCACTCTGAAGTCCCTCGTCTGTCGGAAACACCGAAAAGTACGACCCACCGTAACCCTCCCGCACACATGCCAGGGACCATAGAACACTTCAGATAAATACTTACCAGACCCACTAGAAATCCCCAGGACAACTCGAAACCTAACCACACGAAGGAGTGGGAGAAAGCTCGAGCCGCCATGACACACCTGCCTGCGACCACTTACACCCCTGACGAATGTAAGATGCTCCGATATAGTCGTAGGTCTAATAGGTGTTGGCGGACTTGATCGGTAAAACAAGCGTAATTTATGCAGTCGTTGAAGTTTAGACGATGACGACGACCTACGCTAAATAACTTGACGCCCTATGAGACACATTCTTGTAGTGTGGTATCCCCCTTATGCAACCGAGCAATCTCCGCGGGCCGCAAGGACCGAGATGGGTAAAAAAGACATCCAATGAACGTTGATGCAACACAGCCTCCTCCGGCAACCTCCCATGAACAACCGTCAACTTTGTGACCCCTCTTGCTCACGTTCCTTCCAAAAATAGATCCGAAAACCTCTTGGACACCGATCGCTGGATCGGCTCAGTGGAGATTGCTCGAGAGTCAAGCGAATCGCCCCGTAAACTTTCGTTTTTCACTCTGAACGCAGATAGCTAGTCCAGGGTAAACTGGGCTCTACTTGTAAACTGCACATCATTGGTGACAACCCTTTCTCCCTCTAAGGGTAACAGACCGTTACTACCTATAACAACAACACAGGCGCCCGGCGGGGCGGAGGGTCGATGAATCGTCTTTACCACCGAGTGCTCCCTTTATCCAGACTTCGCACAGCCCTCCCCTGCGCTACAGTAGTAACCCCTTTTTCCGGAAGTCCAAAAGGAGAAGAGACCTTAGGCAGCAAGGCTACGACTTAATCCGCGCCGATATTTACTCGGGTTACCTCACTCCCTCCCTTTCCTGTACTAAAAGCAAACGATAATTGACCAGCCCCTTCCAGCACACCCACACACACACACACACAAACACACACACACACCACCGGTACACACCACACACACACACACAACCACCACAACACACACACTTGGATACAACACGAAACATAGCAGGGAGCAGGGCACCTATCCCCAGGCCAAGACAAAAGCGCTACTTACCCTGATCGACATGAAGCCATCTGATCCCGATACAATGATGACAGCCATAGGCCAGAGTACATTAGCACACATCTGAAACTGGTCAGAATTTCAGTGTGCTGACATGTGACCAGCAGCTCTACCGGGTTGCAGTGCAAGTGTTATAGTACAGGTCATTGTGTTATTTTGTGAACGATTCATATAGAATCTGGAAACTTGTGTTTTTTTACTTTCTAGGATCACACTGAACACAAAACAACCTGTTTCCATTTTTTTCATTTGTGGCCAGTGGAAAAATACAAGATGGCAACATATATGGAAAAATCTAAAAATCGTCACGTTTGAACTTTTTTGCTCCATAGATGTATACCTATGAGCTTATCAACAGACAGATTCTGCCAATAACTGCTGAGATATTACGTTATGGATCAAAGCAGTGAACTGACAGATCAGAAAGTTAAAAAATACCAGGATCTATGGGCCAATAGAGTATCAGACTTGCGTTTCCCTTAAACCACGCATCCATGCCAAAACAAAATACAAGACCGGTCTGGACTCAGTCAGATTAATGAAGAGCGAAATTAGCTCTGGATTCAGCGATAGCATGTTTGAAAACTTAATGACCAAATTATTTATTTAATAGCTCAAATGTTTGATTTAGGGAAGCTTGATTTAGGGCAGCTTTGGCATGGCTGTTGCTTAGCCATAGGGCGTCCACCAATCAGAGAGTCACTGGATTGATCTCTAGCCTCTGGAGTCAACATGTTGAAGTTTTCTTGGGGAGATAATTACTCCAAAAGGCCCCTGTAGACATGGCTGCCTTATTGAAGTGTAAGTTGCTTTGGATAAAAGAGTCAGCTAAAAGAAAATCATACGCTGATTTATAGAACGATCATTCCACTGTTTTTCCACAAATAAATTTAACTTTAACGCCCGGCTAATTGCCTTAGACCCCGTTGTTGTATCTTGTTACTCATGTTGTGTTTTACTCTCTCACCGTCACTGGGCACCCCCTGCAGTTCAATGGTGGTGGTGCGCGCCTTCTTCTTGGCTGGGCCTTCAGATGACGGTTGTCGTTGCTTCTTGTCGCCGGCAGTCAGCGTCTCCTCCGGGGCCCCGGTCTGAGCCGCAGACTCCGGCGGGGGGCCGAAGGGGTTTTCCTCAGGGTCCTCCACCTCAGGGGCAATGGGCAGGTACAGCAGAGCCTTATAGTCCTCCAGCTCCTCATCACTGCAGTACACAAACACACAAACTCATGAAGATCTGAACACAAGAGCGATTCACAGGCCAACTTTACAGTTATAAAACTTAAGACTAAAATGTGCAGTTTAATGTTACTAATTACATATACTCAAGTACTGTACTAGTGTACAAAGAAGTTGTTAAGTATTTTATTCAAATGCCTCTTTCTCCTTCACTACATCTCAGTGTATCTCAATTATTTCTCTCCAAGTAAAATACAGGGGAAAGGGAGAAAGTAATATTTACTCCACTTTCTTTGTCTTACAACTTTGGTTAGTTTTTTATTAGTTAGGTTTTTATAATGCAAAACATACGAAGAACAACAACGACTATTAGTCCATGGAAAATGGTGTGTTCTGGGCTTTATATATACAGTCTATGGTTCTGGGTTATTGTGACGCCATTTTTGATATGTTCAATCCATTTCTTAGATGAAAAAATAAATAGCAGATTCATCCATAATGAAATAAATAATTGATTAATACATAATACAAATAATTAACTAACCCTGCTATTGTATTATTATTATTATTATTATTAATAATATTATTTTGTATTATAAACTAATCTAATTATATAACAATGTAACAGTCATGGGTGAAAATGTTGTGCTTTGAGAACTTTAACTTAAACTAAATGTTCCTGATTATACTTGCATACGTAAAAGTATGCAAGTATAATCAGGAACATTTAGTTTAAGTTAAACGTTTAAGTAACAGATTAAATCAGGGGCTTTACTAACAGAAAATGTTCACTGTGTGGTAATACAACTTAAAGGTCCTCTGTTATACTCTTTTTCATCAATATATTATAGGTCTCGGATATATACAAAACATGTCTCTGAAGTGTTGGCTCGAAATACCAAACAGATCATTGTAGCATCCCATAATCCCCTCTGTTTTAAAAGTGCTGATTCTCTGTCTGTTGCTTTATGGTGCTCTGGGAGAAGATTCAGGTGATGAGGTGGGGGGGGGTTACCTTGGTTGGTTTTTGGCTAATGTTTACACAAGCCAAAAATTGTTATGATATCATAAAGTGGCCAAAATCTGATCAGCCCATTTTCAGACAGGTTTTTATTTAAATGGATCAGGACAAAAGAGAGAGAATCTTTTTTCCTGAAACTTTCAGAATCTCTTTACACATGTTGATGTATAAAAGACACGAAAAACTGGATTTTGCATAATAGGTCCCCTTAAAGGAGGTGTCTCAGACTCCAGGCCCACAGTTTCTCATGGCCCCTTTGTTGATATCATGTAAGTGTTAATCTGGCCCGCGCGTTTACGTTTGTGCTTTATATTTCAATTTTATTTTTCCCGCTGCCGGCAGGGAACTGATGCGCGGAGTTCCCTCGCCCCTCCCCCCTCCGAGGGAACTCCGCCACACGTCAATCAAATGCGCGCAGCGGAATCAATCCAGAGTGATCCAAGAGTGGAAGCAAAATATATCGCCATGTCTTCATCAAAACTTTCAGGGAAAATAAAAATCGATGATGACCACAGAACATTTCAGGAGAAGTGGGAGACTGAATATTTTTTTGTTGAGTACAGGGGAAACGCAACGTGCCTTATATGCACAGAGAAAATCGCTGAAAATCGAGTATAACGTCAAACGTCACTACTCAACTAAACATGCAGAGTATGCAAAATACCTGGGAGATGAGAGAGAGAAAAAAGTCACAG